TGTGTTAGACCGTGTTTAGAGAATTGCATATATGTGCATTGTTTTCACTTGTTCTTTTTATTTGTTTTTAATATATTGATACTCATCTACCAAAAGTATACAGCATTTGTGGGCCAAAAAAACATATAAACAAACGGGAAACGGAAATTATTACCATACATCAATACATTTTCCCCAAATATAAACTGTAGTTGAAACCCACAAAAGATACAACAAATTTCAAGTATTATTATCATACTAAAACATAAAAAAAAATGTTGTTACCTTGAGTTTATAAAAGGATGGAGAAACTATGTTCCTCTTCTTAGAGGATGGTTCTTCTTCAACATTTCTTTACTTCTTCGAGTCACTCTTTTCAATCATTGCAGAAATACGAGTTAATAATCGGAATCGGAATCAGATTTCCGAATTTGGAATCTAGGGTTTCTGCTATTTGGGATTTAGGGCCGAAATGAGAATGAGATAATGAAACCGAACAGATACGAATAAGAAATCGATGGAAAATTGTTGAAAATGAAAATTTAAAGTCGGATTATGCTCGTAGATAAGGAATCGATGGAAAATAGGTCGGATTTTGCCTCTGGACAATTTCTACGAATGAGGATGTAAACCAGAACGGATACGAAGGGAAAATAAAGAAGAAATCGATAGAAAATAGGTCGAAAATGGAGATTTACAGTTGTATTTGCTCGGATTTTGTTCGTAACGTTGCCTCTGGAGATTTGGGGCTACAAATGGGGGATACGTGGTTTGGGGGATTACGTGGTTTTTGAGGAGGGGGGATTACGTGGTTTGGACTTGTTGTAGTTAATCAGGTTGGGCTTTGGTTGTAGTTAATTAGGTGGTTTAGGACGTATTTAATACTTCCGTAAAATGTTTAATTAGTTTAAGGGTATTAATCAAAACACTTTAAAAAAAAGGGTATAGGGTCTAATTTTCCCAAGACGTTTTCTCAATGCTAGTGGGCTCCCAATCACCCACTCAAAAGCACATATCAAATTCCTATAATCAATTTCTCAACTACCATGCCAAGTTATTGAGCACCCTTATTGATTATCGAAAATGACGCTGAGGATGTGTAGCTCCGAATTTAACTAGGGAAAATTTCAAATTTAAGATATTAAGTTTGACACATTTCAAAATTAAGAAATAAAGTTTATTATTTCAAAAATCAGATATTAATTAAATTTTATTTAAGAAATAATTAATTAAATATATTAATGTCACAATTCTATACTATTGGTCACAAATTATTTCTCGGTCATGAATTATAAATTTTATAGGTCACAAATTATTTCATGGTCACAAATCAAAAAATTTATAGGTCACAATTTATTCATTGGTCATGCATCAAAAAAAATTATGAATTACAATTTATTTATCGATTGCAAGTTACAAATTTTTAGATCACATATTATTTATTGGTTACAAAATATCCAATTTATTGGTCGTAAGTGAACCAATTTGTTGATCACAATTAACCAAATACTAGTTTGGTGCACATTTTGGGGCTAAGAATGCATTTTTTTTTTTTTTGGTTAATTTGATGGAGAATTTGTGGTTGAAAAATAAGGAAAAATAATTGATGTGATAGAAAATATTATTTTATTGAAAAATGTGTGGTTGAAAATAAATAGAAAAATAAGAATGAAAAAAATGATGTAGCTCAAACAGAAGCCAAATAATTAACCATAAACACCCCCAACACAGGCTATCCCACTCACAACCACAACCACCACCAACACCTCAACCTGCACCATCAACAAAAACCACCTGAAACCCCCAACACCACCAAAATATGGAAACCACCACCACCATGCCAACAACAAAAATCAAAACCAACACCTCACCGCCATCGTCGATCCACCACCACTTGCGCCAACCACTGGTGAGATGGTCTCCGGCTTCCAGCGACAATCCTTTTGTAAGGGGAGGGTAGAGAGAGATGCGAGAGGAAGAGAAAAGGGAGAGGAAGGTGAGGGAGAAAATGATTAGGGTTTTGAATGGGAGAAAATTTTAATTATTATCTGATTTTTTTTTTTTTTTGTTGGGAGGGGGAACTTGTAAATCTTAATTTTGAAATGGAAAGTTTAAAGCTCTTGATGCTGTAATTTCCACTTTTAACAATACTATAAGAATTGTATCGGACCAATTGGCTCAACTGAAAAATCGAGACACCATCCCATGACATGTTAGATATTAAGGGTGTCCAATAGTTCCGAACCGAACCAAACCGGACCGAACCGGAACCGAACCGAATCGAGTGGTTCTTCATAAATTAAATACCCGAACGGGTACCCGAATCAAGAACCGATGGGTTTGGGTCGGGTCTCGGGTCTAGACCAAGAACCGAAAAATCGAATAAGAACCGAAACTAAATAATTTTTTTATTTTTTATATTGAATTAATTAAATTATTTTATTTTTTTCTAAATAAATTAGCAAATTAATTAAATAAATCAGATTATTTAATAATTTTAATTTTAAAGCCCAAATCATTTTTAAAACCCATTAGTCCATTTTAATTTGAAGCAAATGTATATACTTTATGTAGTACTACTGTAATACTAATATCTACTTTGTGGTATTTGTATGCATTGAACTAATCTTATTGGGCGGCTAGTTATTTATATGTTTTTGAATTGGGCTACGTTAATTTGTAAAAGTTACGTATGAAATGTCATTAGTTATATTTATGTAGTGTTGCTGTAAATATTAAAAAAATTAATTATGGTACGGAACCGAACCGACCGGACCCGAATCGAACCGAACCGAACCGAACC